GGTCCGGCGCCAGCGGCACACAGCACCGCTGGTCCTCCCCTCCATGGCGGTGGCAACCCCTGGGCGGGGTGCTAGCTGCGCAGGTGCTGCCCCAGCTTGCGTGCAACATCTGCTGGATCCAACTCTTCCCTGAGCCTGTGCCATGGAAACCTACCAGGCATGGTTTTTTTTTCGGTTCCCACCCCCACAAAGCCTGCCTGCCTCTTCTGCAGCTGCGAGGAGAGCTGCCGGTGGGCCCTGGATTTTCCCTGCATGGCAGTGGCACCCCCCAGGCGGGGAGCTAGCAGGCGGGTGCTGCCCTATCTCACAGGCAGCACCTAGCCCGATCCAACTGTTCCCTGAGCCCAAGCTGGGGCAGCACCTGCACGGGACAGCCCCAGGAGGCACCTCTGCTGCAGAAGGGACGACTGGGGCCCTTTGCAGCTCAGGGGCCTCTTGGCCCACTGGCAGCTCACCCCCGGCCACAGGAGATGCGGGCAGGCTGTGAAAAAAAGAGAAGGGATCAGGCCCCTCACTGCTTCTACCTTCAGCCCCTCTCTCCTGAGGTGGGGAGGAAGGGGTTGGGGGTGAGCTATCAAAGACTGCAATGTTACAAATAGCTACACTGAAAACTAAACTATATGCAGATACGGTTTAGTTTGCAACATAGCAAACTCATTTAAATCATAAGAAGTCCCCATACGTGTACAGTGACACACATCCAACAGCAAAAACAGACAATTTCTGTTGCATGTAAAAGTGCCCTTTCAGGCAAGTTGCTGAGCATTCTCTCATACAAATGAAACTAAACAGAAGTTATTAAATGGAGTATATCACAGAATCAAGACCTGATATCAGACAAAAGTGTATTTCTTTTCAATTAGTCCTTATTTTGAATTCACTGTGCTTGTTTTCTGGTATCTAGAAACAAAACAATAGCACTTTAGAGGCTCTGTCTGCTTCAGACCAAGTTATTCAGTACTGAATATAAAAGGGCATTTTAGAAGTGTTAAAGAAAATGAATTATACAATAAGTAATGCTTAGATAAGTAGCTTTCACTTCATGATATTTTTTGCTGATTAAAAAATTCAGATGATTACTCATACCACCAAAGAGTTATTTTACAGGCCATAATTTCAGCTCAACACCACCCTATGGCTCACCAATTCTTAAAATCCCTTCTTACCTGTATCACTGAAATCTATAAATTCTTTTGACAGAAGGTTAGTAAGAAGCTCCATAATAAGAAGAAGATCCTGGTATTGGTCCTCTTCTGCTGTAACATCTATGCGCTGCCTACCTAAATTATTTTTGGAATACACTTGAAGCAAAGTTAGGCAGGCCTCATACAAATTCATGGCTTTGGCCTGCAACAGAGAAAAAAAAATAGAAAGTAAAATCCTATACTCTAAAACTAGAATATTTTAGGTTGGTGTTTAGCCTGGTTCTGCTTGGCTGACAGTATATCGATTATCTTAATTTCAGTTCTATTATTCATTACTATTTAGCATAATATAACTGATATTAAAAATATCAAGACAATGGGTATTCTTTACATCATTCTTTATGACCCGCCTTCAGACCTGGCCCATGGGGCTTCTCACTGCAACCAGGGCCACTGCATTGGCAACGGCAGCCAAATAGTTAAAACCACAGCCAGGTCAAGCCCCCTTGCCAAAGCTGCTATGATGAAACAGTCAGGGGGGTTAAGTGATAGTGGCAGCGTTTAGCTCCTTCACTTTTGGCACTGACACAGAGGCTCCTTCACTGTTGGCAGCCATGGTGAGAAACCCCATAGGTTGAATGTGGGCTGGATCTGGCCTTCAAGCCATACATTGGACACCCCCCTGCCTTAAGTAATATAAATACAAGTTTCCCTCACTTTATGCTGTGTATGTGTTCCTAGAAAATAGTGCATAACTTGAATTCGCATTAAGGAAACCCACTTTACAATGTAACAAATAGGGATATGTTCCAACACCTCGACTGTACTGACCCCCGGGCCCATTTCAACCACTTTTACAAGACAATTTTGGTACTCACCAACAGCAGACAGTACACACAAGCACAGGGCACCATCATAATGGGGATGGCAACTACAGAAACACGTGTCACAGACAACTAGTGAGGAGCACAGATCTACACAGGAGACTATATTTTGGTGTATGTCACTCCCACAATGTGCCATACAAAGCAGGTGACTGCAGGCTTCTACCACACTGATCGCATAAGAGTGAATTTACCTTGCATATAATGAAATTTTTTTTATATAAAAAGGGTTATTGCATAAGAGCAAATTTGCACACACAGAACCTGCATAAAACGAGGGAAACCTATATCATGCCCATTTATTAATGTTTTACCACCTATGATGGAAATAGGTAGCTGGCCAAGTTAGTCTGAATTCAGGCAGAAGGCAAGGCAAGATGGCATCTTAAAGGCCAATAAAGAGGTACATAAGCTTTCACAGGAACAGCCTACCATCATCAAATGCTGTGACAAAATAGGCTGTTGCCTATAAAAGCTTATCCACCTCTGAATGAGTCACGTCTCTAAGGCGCCACCCTGATGTGATTTCCAACACTAAAATAATATAACCTTGCTTTTGGCAGGTTCCTTAGATGTAACAAAATTATAAATTAAGACTACCTACATAGAATAGTTTGGAACAGGCCAACATTTCATGTCATATCATGAAACAGCTTATAAAATTCACTCAAAAGCTAAACAGCATGTTGATACAAGCAAATTTTGTAGCTACAACCCTATTAGTGCAGATCTAATGGTAATAACTACAGTTTATCTATATTAGGGAATTTGCATTGCACTGAACCAACTTTCCTGGTATCTTACTAATGTAGCACCAATACAATGGGTCTACATTATGGATTTGCACAAGTGGAAAAAGCAGTGAAAGTTTCCCCTAGATAAGGGGTGTTCAAAATGCGGCCCGTGGACCGGATGTGGCCCACCAGGCCATTCTATCCAGCCTGTGGGGCCCCTAAAAATTGAGAAAATTAATATTTATCTGCCCCGGCTGCCTGTCACGTGGCCCTCAATGGCTTGTCAAAACTCAGTAAGCAGCCCTCCATCCAAAATAATTGCCTACCCCTGCCCTAGATTAACCTCTAGAAAAAATTAAATGTGGTTTAAAAAAATTTAAAAGAAACCACACACACACCAGCCTGCTCTGCACTTCAATTTCATTACTAGTCCAGCTCCACAACTGCTGAAATTATGGCTAACTTTAGTAGGATATGCAGATATTCCTTATCCTGTTAGATTACTTTTGCTGACAATGCACATACATATTTCCCTGACTAGAAAATGTGAATTTAGTATACCAAATGTTTTGTGCATTGTGCCTTCCATTTTCCTTGTCTGTAGTCAATGTGATTAGGTTTTTATTATAGTGGAAACCTGCAACTGGACGTGCTTGTTGCATTGAACATGTTTTCCTTTAAAGATACTTATCACTTTTTAAAATATAAACATTGTGGTATGCTCCTTAGCTGATTACATTTTGATATATAATCAAAAATAAATTAGTAGATGCATTCTTTTAAAAGGTCAAAAGGTTGTTTTAATCTCTTGGGGAATGTTTACACATGTTCATTCTTCTACAGGTATTCAAGAGAGCCTAGCTGTACAACTTTTCTTCCAACCCAGCATCTAAAAAAAACATTCAGGCTTACTTTGTTCAGAGAATGACATTTTACACTTTCCCTTTCCTCCCCTCTTTGGCCATATTTACCTCTCCAAGATAGCATATTTGTTTATGTGCAACTTCAACAAAGACTTCTATTATGAGGTTAACAGTCTCTGGTGTGTTTTTGTACACCTCCATTAATCCAATGCAATTGTTGAGGAAGTCCATTAGAAAATTAAAGAGGATTGCTACATTGTCAATTTGGGTAGCCTCAGCAATGCCACAAAGTGCTTCTAGCGTGGCAGTGATTTCCTGTTTCACCTCCTCTTCCTGACAGATCTGTTGAAAGTTTTCTTGATTTATCACATTCAAGAATCGCTGTTGAAGCGGCTGAAGAACCTATAGAATAAATTTTTTTTTTTTTTTAAGTATAAGTGTATTCTTCCAGTTTTACACACACTTATCCATTTTCTCTGGTATTTGACTACCTCCTAAATTCAGTATAATCCACAGATTTTTCTTTCTGATATAGATCATTAAGGAAACAAAGATGAGTCTTCATTATGATATTAGTAATATACTACAATCTGTCATTACCTTTCATTTAGTCTCACTGTTCATGTTCAAGCTATAAACCAGTGTTCATAACTAAACTGATCTGAACTTGTTTTGAAAGTAAGCACATATCACTGCAATCATAGTTTTAATCAGTAAAAATTTTCAAATGGGGACATCTCGCTTTAAGATGGGCAAGCTTGAAAAAAAATTTCAATATCCCATTTATTATTTTACTGTCCTTCTTTTTAAACCTGATAAAATATGCAACTGCATATTTAATCATAACAACCATAAAAGTAACAATCATAAAAGAAAATATTTAAAGATCTCAAAGATGTTCAAAATATCAATTTCCATGCAAAGCTGAATTAAAAGGAGATACTTTAAATTCAGTTTCATTACCTGCTGAAAGACATGCGACAGAAGTCTTACCTCAGTCCAATACTGTTGTTTTGTCTCTGTGTCCATATGAGCAAAACCTCCCAAAACTAACGCTTTCATTAGTGTTCTTTGCACAGAACTAGACAAATAATGGAGAGGTGGGCTTCGCCTTGCAAACTGCTTAGCTAAATTCCACCAATTTTCACACTGAATTACTAAATTTGCCCTAAATGAAAAAGAAATAGTTTAATCATATAAAATTTTATAAACACATACAAGCCAAGTGCTTCTCCCAACTATCCTTGCTACCAACTTAAGTTTTTGTATTTTTTCTAGAATTTATGCTCTTGCTCACTCTCCTAATTTCATTTTATTTGCATATTATTTTTAGACAACTACAAACATTTACTCTGAGTATTCTTCTACAGATGTTGAACCATGGAATGGGAAAATACTTTGTAGATTAATATGAACCATTTTATTACACATATTGCATGCATCAAAATCAAAATGTCTCACATTATGTGATAAGAGAGAACTAAGCAGCAGTTTGTTCCTGCTTCTGTTTTTCCTCTGAAAGGCACTCTGAGCCTTGAGTGTAAGAGGATTCACAAATGCCTCCAATTATGCAAAACAAAACCCTATTTATTCACATGTTCTGTTTAGCCAAAAGGAAATATCAGCAAGGTCTCATAGCATTCCCTTATGATCTGATTTGTAAATATCAAAAACAATAGGACATCTCATATACATGCAGGGCTCTTCAGGCAGGCTCCTGGAAAACAAACTTCTGCCATTTCTGTTCAGAGTACCCCACTGTACTCACGGCCTCTGGGATGGATCTGGTCCACTTAGAGCGACTCTAGCCTCCAGTTTATTTACCATGCACAAATTCACTATTGCCACCCCAGCCATCCAATCTGTTCTACATTTTGCTGAAGGCATGCCAAACCCCTGCTGCCAATCCCCTTCTCTATGTGGAGGGCTGGTGTCACCCTCCTTGTGAAGCCTATTTACCAACCCACTGAATTAACTGCTCCAAATCATTCTTTATTATGATTTTCATCAGCATGTTTTTCAGCAGAGGCTACATTCACAGGGTGGAGGTGAGGGGCAGGCAGCCTTCTACAAGGATATGGGAGGGCTGGGGTGGCAGTTGGGAACTGGCACCTTGCAGCAAATGCTGGGTTGCAAATGCTGACCCCCCATTAATAAAACCCTGCCTTAGAGTCTACTGTGCATAGCTGCCTCTGCTCAAGGACGAATTCCTAACAGAGTTAGATTAAGACAAAGCACAGCCTAGGAAAACACCTTTGCATGAGGCCCTCTTGCATTATGGTCTTTTTCCTTCTCTGACCAGCAGTAGTTGCCAATATAAAAAGCTATTTTTTTGGATTGGTGGGAGCCACCACTGCTCCTCTGCAAGAACTGAGTGTAAACTACTGTATTTACTTGAATATAAGATGAATATAACCCTCAATCAACTTGATTTGAATATAATTGCCGATCAATATGGGGAAAAAAGCCTTTTGATCTTACATTCACATACAAGGAAACTGCATCATATACACTGCCTATCTTTGAACTGCTGCTAAAGGCAGCATGTGCTCTAGTAATGAAAACTAACTATGAATTTGGTTAAAATGTAGCCAACACTGAGCATGACTATAAAGTACATGGCCCATATGAGGCAAACATCCTCTATGGCCCTTAAAAAATCAAATCAAATCAAATCAAAATCAGCAGTTGCTCCCCCAGGAGGGAATGGGCACTGGGGCTGGAGGCACTGCAACACTAGGCCAGAACTTGGAGAAACTAGAGTAAGCGCTGACACCCTTACCTACTGCCAAAAAAGCTGACAGAATCTACCATGAGGATAGGTCAGTGCAGCCCATCTGGATAAGATGTGGTAGTGACTATTGAGCACAGTCCCCCCCACAGTGCCAACTCTTTTTAAAGTCATGGTGAGCCACTACATTGCATACACTGACTTTCTCTTCACTCCCACAGCCAGGCTGCACCTTTCTTTTCCATGTCCAATGACACCTGTTTCTTCACCAGCCTTAACTGTTTCACAAACATCACCAAACAGGGCCCCAAACAGTTCATCCTGAATCCTTCTGTCAACCCCTCTCCCAGCCTCTTTCATGTTTAGTGTGGCACCACCCTTCATGAGGTGAAATCAGACCAGGTTGCCCTGTGTCTCATCTCCACCTAAATTTCTGGAGGACCCCAGGACTCATGACAAGAACACCTGGTTATAATCATGAGTGGGGGTATACTGAGCTAATTAACATGTGGATCTTTTGCGGGGGGGGGAGGGATATCCGAGGTACACACACATACTGAGCAGTGCGGACACTATGGCTTGAAATGCTAGAAAAGCACAGCCCAATGAACTGTATGATAAATCATGAGCCTTTTGGCTTTAAACTAATGTCATGTATAGTTTGTACTCTAAGTAGGTGCTAAGCACTACTTAAGTGTGTTTATGGAGTATCTGTATTAAAACTTGCAGCAGTAGCTTCAAAAAAGGTAAAATGCATAATTTCTGGATGAACTAATTCTATGGGTATTACATGTAAATTGCCACAGCTATATTTATTTCAAGGCCAGTTTTTCCAAATTTTTCCTCACTTCCATGTGGTCACGGAGAGGAGGGTCTGATAGTAAGGAGGGAAAAAGGGGCTGCAGGGGAAAGAAGTTGGTGGTTTGGGGGTAGAGGGCAAAGGGGCTACCTGACTCCCCCAGATTTATTTTCCCTGCTATAATAGTGGGAGTTTGCAAATGCAAGACAAGCCTTCAATAATTAGATTTTACACCTGGAAAATAATATAAAAAATGTATACATTTTCTATATACAGAATCTGATTATTGGGGGATTGTCTTATAATCAGGACCATCTAATATTCAAGTAAATATGGTAAGTCTTTCCTGTGATTGAAGCCTGCTCATCTGAAGACCAGTAGAAGTGGCCCAGAAATGAACAAAGTTCAAACAATGAGAAGGAAGTTCATTTCTGAGCCACTTCTACTGGTCTTCAGGTGAGCATGCTTCAACCACAGGAAAGACTCAGTCTATATCCAATCTCATGAGAGGACACAGTACAACCACTCCAGCCAACCACCAGGAGGTGGTCCTTCTGTTACTTCTAATACTTGTATGTACAGAAAGAATAAGTACTGAATCTCATATTTCAAATCTTCTAGTGCTACTCCTGCTACAACCATTGTCTCACTTCTGTCACTCTACCTACTCCTTCCTTCTCCCTTCTTCCAGACCGCCCCCCTTCAATACTGCCTCCTTTTCTTTCCAAGCTCACTCTCCCTTTCCCTCATTCAAACTTTTATTAAACTTGGGCTTACAGCCCTTTAGAAAACGAGCAGGTTATATACACACACAAAACTTTCTATTAAAAGAATATTTTTTGAGTACTTGACTTGTAACCTAAAAAGGAAACAAACAATTACAGTCACCTGTCCAATATAAGTGCCTGACTTGAGACCCTGGCATATTTGTGGAACTGCTGACAAATCACAGCAGTAATTCTGATCTGTGTTTTAAACATATTAAATGTAATAAGCTAGGCCAGGTGCAGGCAACCCACAGCACAGGTGCCAGAGCGTAGCATGCAAAGGCATTTTGTTTGGCATGCAGGCAGCATGCCTCAAGGCGGACAGTGGGGAAGGGGCCAGGTATGCACTGCCACCCCTCACAGCTCCCCAACTGTCTGCCCCTGGTACGCCAAATCAAGGTTTCATAGATGTTAGGGTCGGAAGGAACCCATTAGATAATCGAGTCCAACCCCCTGCCCTGGGCAGAAATGAGTGCTGGAGTCAGATGACCCCAGCCAGGTGCCTGTCCAATCTCCTTTTAAACACCTCCAAGGAAGGGGACAGCACCACCTCCCTTGGAAGCTTACTCCATATTTTGGCAACCCTCACTGTAAAGGATTTCTTCCTGATGTCCAATCTGAATTTGCTCTCTTCCAATTTGTGGCCATTATTTCTAGTTACCCCGACAGGCGCCCTGGTAACCATTTCTTGCTGCCCCCCCTGGTGAGTTTGTAGCCCCTCCCCATGATGAGTTTCTAAAGTGTAGACGATATCAATATACTATCTGCAAGGCATGGGGCGTGGTAAGGGATGGTTGAAACCACGCATCTAGCCCATAAAGCTTAGGTGTTTTTGGCGCACTGCCCAGAAACGTTGCTGACCCCTGTGCTAGGCCTCAGGTGTCACTCATGTTGGAAAACAAACATTAGTAGACACTTATGTTAGTGTTACTGTGCCTCAAATTTCTCATTTGTAAAGTATGAATATCACGCCCGCCCCATTTTACAGGAGTACTGTAAAAATAAGTTAGTTAATATTTCTGAAGTGTTCAGATTCTACAGTGATAAGCACAAAAGAAAACCCCACTGTTATACTAGCTTTATATTTGTAACACTCCACTTACATCAGTTGAGTTACAGAAGCATAAAGCTGGTAACAATTTAATGTAACCTGGGAGGTGCTTATTACTTGAAAACTAGGGAACACATGGCAAGCTGTTTGGTTTATATGAACATGTGTACATTTGTTCATAAAAATCTACATTATAGGCTTGTGAATTTCTAATGCTTTAATTCTCAAAAGAAAGTGCAAGTGGTCTCAGTTGTAGAAGCACAACTATAAATACCCTATAAGAGATACTGCATTTGCCCTATTTTTGGCCCAATATAATTTTAGAAGATGCAAAAGAAAAGTCTGGGCTTGGATAGATCTTCAACCTACCGCTCTCTCCTTTCCACCAATGTTACTAGCAGTTGCACAGTGTCATTTGCAAGGTCCTGTTCAGAACTCCATACTGCCAGGTTACTGATTACTTTTTCTAACAGATAACCCACAATCCACTGTGAACCCTCGGTATCTGCACCAAATGCTGTATTAAATGGCAGACTTATCTACAAGAAAAAGAATTAAATAAATGAAGTTTACAATACACAAAATGATGTATATGGCAACCAAACAGCAACTTGTTTTCAGACCTTCCCTCTTTCCTTAAAACACAAAATTCTTGCTGATAAAAGAATTTTTTTTTAAAATGGGCAACAAACAAGACCTACTTTTAAATGCAATGGCAAAAAGCAGAAAACAATTTCAACTTTATACATCTACCAATATTTGTTCAAAACTTAAAAAAAAGAATTCCATAAGCACTTCAAGAAAAAATTCCTGAGAACTGAAAAATCTGATAGCAGCAAACCGAGCAGTTGTAGAGTTTTCAACCAAAGAGAGCCTTGCAAGATATCACACCGTCTCACAGGCTGCTTACAGACAGGAAAAAAACAAAAGCCAAACAGCGCTTTACTTTCAGCCTGGCGCACCCCCGCACTGAGTGCAGTGCATGGCCAGAAGAGGCAATGAGTTAGTTTGTCCTGGCCTGTCCAACATCTGTATAGATTGCGCGTTTCAGCAGGGCTTTTCGGAGCTTTTATCCAATAGCTGAGTCAATCAAGGAACACATGCAAGCTGCGAAAAAACACCGAAATGCTGCGCTGAAGCATGCAATCTATACAGACGTTGGGTGAGCTGAGTCAAACTGATGCAATGCCTGTTCTGGTAAAGCGCTGGGTTATTTTGGGATTTTTTTCCACATCTGTCATGGCTGTAGTGAATATTTTCTGTAGCTGGTCCCTGGAATTTGTTCCATATGCAATGTTCTGGGGAAGGATTTTATCCTTAGACTTGGATATGTTAATATCTGTTTCTTCTGAGAATTCCAGGTAAATAAAAATTCTTGTTCTTTACAAAATAAATTCGTTAAAAACTGAGTCTCAGGAATTTTATTATAATTTTTTGCAGGAAACACTATATCAGTACACGGTGAGCATGCTCAATTTCAAATTTCCTGTTATTTTCATCATATAAAACTATATGATCACAATGAATGATGGCAGAAATATTCTTGGTAATCTTTATTTTATTATTTTATATAATTTACTGAGTGTATCTATCCTTCCTCATATTTCGACTATATTATGATTATTTCCAGATGTCCAAATTGTGTTAAATCCGCACTGTACTCAGTACTGTGCTAGTAGCATAAGAGACTACCCCTACACCACAGATTTTTGCAACTGAAATAGCAGCAGTGTGTGACAGGTAAGTATAGAACACAATAAAATGGGAAAAGAAAAGGATAACAACATAAGGTAACATCTATTAGCTAAGAGAACAATTTCAAATTTTAATGGATTTTTTTGGTCCACCTAGCCCTTCTTCATTAAAAAAAAAAAAAATACATAAAAATGTTAAAAGAGATTAAAGAATCACTGCCAAACTCCCTCCGTAGCCATTGTATTACCAGGCAATGTGCCACAATCACTGCACTACAGATGACATCACAGATTGAAAGACAGACTCATTATTACCAAAACTTTGGTAAAAAATATGTTCTACCTATGGAACCACATAGCATAAATTTTTTCATGTCGAACCCTACACAATTACATTTAAAACAAAAAACAAAACAAAACAAAAAACCCACCAGTGTGGACAATTCCTCTGACCACCGCCACTTATTTACTATTTAATTTTTTTCCTTGGGAAAAGAGCCCACTTTTCAGACTACAACTGTGCACATTGAGTTTTAAAAATAAACAACTATTTGCATGTTATAAACCCCTGACACTTGAGGTTCAAAATACACATCAAATCTACTTTCATTAAAGAGTATTACTGCCTATTATTTAGTCAATTATTGCAATCACAATTGCAATTCTGTTCTTACCTGGTCATACAGCTTTTCATCCACTAGGAGATAGGTCTTTGCCCAGCGCTTAAGAAACCAGACAATATCTTTTCCCATTTGTGGGCTCAGAAGGTGTGTTAGATTTGCCCTTATTGCTCGAGATTCTACTTCTGAAACTCTTAGGATGGCAGATAATAACCTGCAGATATGAAGTACAATTAAGACACATGACTGATTTTTGTATGTTTTTTTTCCCCTTTAAGTAGGGTCAATTTCCCCTACATTGCATTGTCTCAATGTTTTCTGTTCTTCATGGAATACAGTGAAAAAAAATACAAAGCCCAAATATTTATGCCCCAATACAGTCATGCAAACACTCTGGCTGCTTACAAACGTTAAACGCTTTACTGGAAGAACCAGTGTGTTAGCTTGGCCTAGATCTGCAGCATCTGCATAGATGAAATGCTTCAGCGGGGTTTTCTGAGCACTTTTATCTAAAGCTATTTCAATCAGCTATTAAATAAAACCACCAAAAAAGCCCCCCTAAAGCGCCCAATCTAGACAGATGTTGGGTGAGTCGGGTCCAACTAATGCAATGCCTCTTCTGGGCATGCACTGGGTTCAGTGTAGGGGTGCGCTGAGTTTAAACTAAAGTGTTGGGGGGCTGTTCTTGGTTTGTTTCTTTTTACATCTGTAAGCAGTCTCTATGAATAGTCTCTCTTTACACAGGAGGATGGAGATGGGACAGAAATACTTTAAGACTGAAGTCAAGGTGCAAAGGGGAACAGCTCTGACTTTGAAATTAGACTCCAAAATTATTGCAGTACACAGAATGCTCTCCAGTGCTCTGACATCAGGGGAAATGGGAAGCTGTCCAACTGGAATAATGCCTAGTACTCTACAGACAGGATACCTTTCCATTTCTTCCCCCCTCCCCCTCTTAACCTTAGCTACAAACTTTTGGCAGCCTTAAGTGTACAGTTTTTGCAGCCTGGTACAAACTGCAACACAAATGCAGAAGCAGTAAACTGTTTCTTCTTATTTTGATTGCTATAGGAGTAACACACCTCCCTCCATCCCAATTCTCAAGGAATCTCCAAACCTTCCCCATTTAGCCCAGATTCTCTCCCCACTACAGAATGCTGGAGTAGAAAACATTGCTTTCATTGCCTCTTATCAGCTACATGGAAAAATTATCACTGAAAAACAGAGTGCTCTTTCGTTGTACAGGGACTAAGTATAATGTTGCCATATAACTTGTGCACCTGACAACCCAGGGAACTGATGGAGACAAAAAGCCATCTCAGGCTATCTGGTTAAGATTAACATAAGACAGAAATTAAAACAAAACAAAACTAGGGTAATAGCATCTTTCACAGCCATTAGAGTACAATGTGCCATGCCTTACTTCAAATTTCCAAAGCTTGGGACCCTGCTTTATGGCTATCATCTTCCTTCTAAAAATGGACAGAAGTTTCTTTTGTAGCTCTCATACTGTTCCTTAAAATAGGCCAGTT